TAACGTTTTCATAAATATACTGGAAAGCACTTTGTTGGGCAAATTCCACAACACCATTTTATCGGGATTTCAAATTAAATAAACTTTTATCTCTCGAGATATGAGCTAGAGATAATTTGATCCATCCTGGGCAGCAGGTAACGGTTTGCTTTTCTTGAATCAGCTGTTTTAACAAAACTCCGAATATTCTACCAAGCACGAGAACCAATATAGCTTCAAATCCATGGTGTTTTCAAGTCCAGCTGACTCAATTTATAAGTTAATAACCATGGCAACACCCAAATCATGTTTAGTTTGATCTTATAAACGATCATCTTGTTTACATGTTATTGTGATTGTGACCTGTGCACTTTACTTGTCGTGTGTGCGTCCCATTTTCTTTCACACTGACTGGTATATATGTTCTTAAGTTAAACATATAAAGAATCCCACGTTACCAAGACTTTTATTCTAAAGGGGTCCCTTTTACTGTATAAAGTACTACTAACAGCATTGGGATATTGCTCTTTCATTTACGCTTGAAGGAAATTAATCCGCGATATCGTATACAGTACTAGGTCTATAAAAGAAATAAGGGGGAAAGGGCTTTAGGTATATAAAAAAAAAAACAGCCTCTGGGGACCACAAACATATGTTTTATCTACTTGATTTATCTGTTGTACGAGAATTAACTATTTTAATGCATGCTTAATCACAAGCTGTTCATACTTTCTAACCGTAGGCCTATTATAGTATGTCATCATATCCACAGTGGCGGCGCTACAGGGGGATACAACCCCTCCATCGGGGAGGCTTTGCTCCCCCGTCGGGGAGAAAAAACATTATTTGTCGGGGAAAAAAGAAACAAATTATATGTATTTTTTATTACATAATTGTAGACTATAAAATCGATTAAATAAATCTTAATCCTAAATTGTCATACTTTTGGGGGTATTCTCCCTCTGGAATATTTTCAAAAGATTTTGAGCGACGTCCGGCCACGACCACTTTTCTGTCTTTTGCGGAGACGGCTTCCCCCACTCTTTCGGGGACCCTTACCTCCGTTAGGAGATAATCCTTGCGCTACCACTGCATATCAATATGCAAAAGTTTATTTTCACATATGCCCGGCTAAATCTTGTTAGTTTTGGGCTTTTGGGCACATTTCATGTTGATAGCCTAACTGAAGGCCTGTTGTGTTGTTATACCTGCTTGTTTGCAAGCACCAAAGCCTTCTAACAACTGCTATTATTCATTAAATCGTACGTAAACGTTATGACTGCTATTAACGTCATCCAATCAGAATACAAATTTAATACATACTACAGTATCATCCATCAGCTAGTCACGTATTGCAATGTCAATAGCGGGCGCTAGTTGAATTAACTTCAATATCAGGATTAATATTGACGTCATTAAAATTATGAATTGGCATTACTGTATGTCCAATCCAGTACAATCATAAAATCATGAAAATCATTAGTCTTTTGTATTTCTCTACAATTAATATAATTGACTTCGAGACGTAGGAACTTTTGATGTTAAAACACGATAACTGGATAAATATTATTGATCCACATTTACCTCCTTGGCTAGCGTTGTTAAATAAGCAATGTTTGAGGTAGGCTATTATAGAATATTCCATTTGACTAGAAGATGTTTAATTTTATACTTTATTCGGTCCAACATTAAAATACGATGTGTCTTGGAGTCTGGTAATACATTTGAAACATTTTAATGTGGTCTAACAATGTCAAATGGTTTAAAATACACTTAACAGCAAGTTAAAATATTGTATTAAGTACTATTAAATAGATTAAAAACACTTTAAAATTCATAAATCCTATTGGTATTGGTACTGGTACGGTCATTTATAATGCGACTCTTCCTTGTGGTTATAAAGCGCAGTTCTTTTTCCCGGTCATTGGGTCCACATGCTAAGTGTTGCTGCTGTTAATCAGCGCAGGAGCAGGTAACCCCACCAGGTTCCCATTATACTCCTGGGTGAAGAGAAGCAATGCAGATAAAGTGTCTTGCCTAAGGACACAAAAGAAATGCACAGTGAGGGAAACCCCGACCTCGAGGGTGGGAAATCAAACCGTGCCCGCTGCGCCAAACCGCTTTCACAAATCCTACTATCTTGACTAAAAGGTGTATTCACACCAAATTCCAATTTTCGGTTTGGAAGGTCTACAAAAACAATCAGAAAGTCGAATCAATGTGTAAGAATAGGGACGGAGGCGTTCAGCGCTTTGAAAACGCGGTCCGAATTTCGGTTTGGATCAGATGTACGTGGATGCAACTTTAATACAGTCCGCCCTCCAATTCGAGAAAGCCCCTATAATTCAAGACCACTTTATCAAACCAACTAACCAACAATCTTTTAACACTGAGCTCACCCTCGTAACGTGACCCCTCTAACTCGATACCAAGACCTTTAAGGAAGTACCATGTGACAAAATGACCTCCAATTTAAAACCACATTTAGAAATAAAATCAAAGAAATACAAGTTTAAAATAAATAAACAGTCTGTAACTTTAAAAATTGAACATCTAACATTAACAGATGATTTTTCGGAAGTTTATCCATATAAATAAATGTTTCTTAATAATGGTGGGCTATAAAATGGTGATATTTGAAATATCTTGAATCACAGGTCTGAAATGAAGCAGTTTATTTTCTTGAGAATTTTGGCAACTTTTCAAAGAAGAGGCACTGTAGGATATAAAAAAAATAGGTATAATTTAATTTTTTCCCCCGTTAATTATTGTAGCAATGACCATTTCCACCACTGATGTACTCCTTCACTTACAAAACATTTTAATGAGCATTATACGCCTAATGTGCATCTTAATTTTGATGACTAATAATGTACCGGTATGTACATACAATATCGACTACATGCTGTATGAAAGCAGTAGTGCAAACATATTCTTGCATATTATCCTTTATGCATTTTTTTAAAACTAGTTTTAAAAAGTTTATAGTTTAGTGGCTGCTTATTGAAGATTGGAAACACACGTCTGTTTTATGTAAAGGATCGACACTACATGCCTACCTAAAGTTAATTCAAATATAAATGTTAGGTTTACTTTACATTATGCTGTTCAAATTGCTTTTTTCTATGTGTGTAAACAGTTTCAAGAAAGTAAGAAAAAAATAAATACATAAAAAGCAAACAAAAGATTCTTTGAAATAAATAAATGGTTGTCCCATGTTGTTTTTTTGAGACCACTTTTTGCTTCGGTCTTCATTTAGAGTTTTCAAGTTCAGTTACCCTCTAATTAGGCCTATGCTGTTTAGAAACCACTTCTATCCCATGGTCTCTATTTAGAGGTTTCTAATTCACCCCAAATTTCAGGTAGGCTACATAGTCCAGTCCGAAATGTAGCAATATCAGAGGTTGCATTTTTTTTTGCTATATTTTTTAAAAATTGGATATGATGTAGAGTAGACATTGATAAATCAAAAAAGTATGTGCAACATTTTTTTTTTCATACGTAAGGGGATTTACTAGGCCTATAAATAATAATCGCCCAAGGGGAATATCTTTTGTGTTATTTCCCCTTAACGTCGTTTTTTTAATTGTTCTCTAATTCCTCCATTGTCTAAGTTCCCCTTAAATTACAGGTAATAATAATAATTAATAATAATAATAATCATTTCAGCATTAATTACCTTGGCCTAAGGCTTGAAATGAAGAACCTACAGATACTGTACTATTTACTAGGCCTATAAATAATAACAGCCCAAGGGGAATAATTTTTGTGTTATTTCCCCTTTGTCTAAGTTCCCCTTAACGTACAGGTAATAATAATAATAATAATAATAATAATAATAATAATTATTATTATTATTATTATTATTATTATTATCATTTCGGCATTATAATTAACTTGGTCTAGCCTTGTAATCAAGAACCTGCCGATTACTATGCCTAATATTATATTAATAACTAGCTCATTTTTACATTCATTTGATGTTTTGCCATTTTGGCAGGTCTTATGGCATCCAGTATTTTAGAGCTGCCTATTCTCAGCTCTTCTCTTAATTTGAAAATAACTGTCATTCTGTTTCATTTGATCAGATGAAGAAAAACGCGCTTTTCCTTACTCCTTGTGCTTTTCCCAGAAAGCGTTTTTAGTAGGCCTACTTGTAGGCCTAGGTAATTATGCAAAACCCAGGCCTAACTAAAAAATTAAAATTGTCATGGTATGTAACTCAAGTTAAAATAACACTTTTCATTACTCCTGCAGCTTAATCAAATATTATATGTCATTTTAAACGACCCATTGGTATTAACATGGTAACATCAATGTATTTTTAAAAATTAGACAGCGACGTTCTCTCAGAAGTTGTTCTGTAGACGTTTGTTGATGACATTTTGACCTCCTGAATTCTGCAATGAGATTTTCGGGTCGATTCAGCCGAGACGGCCCGAGTGGAGTTTCATGTAAATGTTTCGTACGGAAAAAAAAATCGCATGCGGTATGCAGTTTCAACTTCTTCACCCACCATGATTTTTAGACTGTCTCTGAGATGACTGTTTTGGAAACACAATCACTATATTTTGGCTTATTTGCGTGTTGTGTTGTTTTACTGTAACTGTTCTGCAACACGATTTTATAGAATATCAGCGTTTTAGACATTAAAAAAAAATTATTTCAACATTTCATGAACAAGTTACATATACATTGACCATTGAAAACAAGTATTTTAAAAACAATGACAAAAAACATTTCTTTCAAACTTAATTAATTTTAACAATAAAAAATGTCATATACAGGAAGCCAAAAAAAAAAAAAAAAAAAAGGTTTCCACCAATTTAAACACTGTATTCGCTAAGTGAGAAATCTAAAACAATAAAATTCAATGTAGGTATTGATAAAAAAAATAATGTTTTATTCACAGGGATGGGACATGACAGGTAGGAATTTTGTAATCACCAAATTTTGTTATCACACAACCCAAATTACTTTGATTATACTGTAAAGAAATTATGATCGCACCATAGGTCTACCTGAATTACTTTCTAAATAATTGTGATCCATTGTGCATGGATCACAAATACAAATGTACAAGGATTATACATGTATTATTGAAGAACACCGTTTTAGACAGTTTTAAACGGTTAAGCATCGAATTTGACATGTAACATGTACTTATATTTAATGTCAATACAGTAGAATCAATTTCTATATCAAATACCAAAAAAAGTGGGTGTACATGGGATTTACCCCTGGACCTCTCCACAGACCATTGCCGACGTCATGATACAGTCTTCTAATAAACAACTTCCTACGCCAAATATCACTGCCTTATGGTCTAGCTGTATAAGAAAATGCATCGTCGTTCTGAAAAGCGATTTGAGTTTGACGCACAGGCCCACTTGTAGTATTTTCCTTCCTCAAAGTATTTTTCCGGCGTATTATCAGTGCTGCGCACATGTGTTTCAAAATGTCGTAAAAGCATTCTATGAGCTCTAATATTGTTAGTGTCGACATGCCGATCCACAGGCCGAGGTGTCCACCAATATTACTTATTAGTGATAAAAACTATAATTTAAGGACAAATAAAAAATAATGTTTCGATAAAGTGATTTAAGAAATCTATAAACATAAAATATACAGTAGGCTATCTGTATGAAAACCGTTTTTTAGGACACCCTATCAAGGAAACATTTTTTTTTTGTTGAAGTGGAAGAAGTACATCTTTTAAAACTACGGCCAATACTTATTTGTATATACTGTAAGGGGACACTTTTTTGTTCAGAAGGTGTCCCCTAAAAGGGGTCTATTAGGCCTATATTTATTAAAAGTATTTATCAATATAATATTGCTGGAGAGCATTTTTTCGAAATCTCAATCTATAACGTAAGATGCCGTATGCAAATGAAGCTACTTTGTAAGGGCGCGAAAAGTCGGTTTTTGTACGCACTTGCAAAGTATGGGAAACCAGGTCGGTGATGATATCTATCAGGGGAGAGTAGGCCTAAACATTCAGCAATAGCATATACGATACTATTTACACTGTCCAATGCTACTTGTTTAATTGAATCGTACTGTTTAATTTCGTAGTAAATGTTGATTTTGGCGAAGTTGTTTCTGAAAAGAAATATATTTTGTTAATAAATTGTATTTCATACAATTGCAATGTATAATCATTATAGCGCACCATCTTTCGGAAGAGGCGTAAAGACCAGTGGCGTAACTAGGTTGTGGGAGGGGCCCTGGTTTAAGGGTACAGTCCGGGCCATTGACGAGTGCAAACTGACTGACCATGTAAACTAAGATGCGTACCACCGATGGGTTGGTTTAGATGCAAGGTCTCCCGAATTGTTTATACTATTTTTACAATAAATATTTAGATTTTCAAAATGTTTAAATGTTCTCAGAGGGCATGTCTTTGAAGAGCCAGCTATTTGCTAGACTGTCGATAATAATAAGCATTTCTTATTCTTGTGACCAAAAGAAAAAGCACATTCGATATTTATTGAATTGATTTTATTTATCTATGGAGGAATAACATAAAAAAAATTATTCCTTTATGATTTATCGGAATAATCATTGAAAACATACAACTTTTACTATGTCGACTTGTCAAGATAATCTATCTCGCCATGACAACATACAATTTTTACTATGTCGACTTGTCAAGATAATCTATCTTGCCATGACAACATACAATTTTTAATATGTCGACTTGTCAAGATAATCTATTTCGCCATGACAACATACAATTTTTACTATGCCGACTTGTCAAGATAATCTATCTCGCCATGACAATATACAATTTTTATTATGTCGACTTGTCAAGATAACCTATCTTGCCATGACAACATACAACTTGTCTCTTATACACATCT